CGACTTCAGGAATCCACATCCTCCCATTTAGAAACGATCTTAAAAAACATCAGCGGCAGTCAAATTTGCTTCCAAAACAAAATACACAAATACAAAGAAATGCAATTACAATGAAATAAGAACCACTGATAAATGAATGTCAGAATAGATAAAATGTCAGTCTGACCCATGTGATTCACACAGGAACCGCACCGCATTCCTCTGCAAAAATCACATGTAAATTCTGTGCGGGGCAGTTTGAGCCATTACGTTTTGTATGCTTCAATATCGCATCGTATCCACACCAAAAAGGTGCAGGACCTTTTTGTTTTGTCCGCACTAGAATCAGATCGCATGAGTATTCACACACACATACAATCCGATTCTGCACATCGCACTGCATTTTGAGAACCAATTTTGGGGTGTTGGTACTTAACATGCACACCGCAGCACTTCTCATGACTGGAATTCTCACAGAAGCCGATGGCGCACCACATCAGTGTGAAACCAGGATAAAGGTGATAGTAGGTGTGATCAAGATGTAACATATTCATCAAAAGAGGAAAAAATTGTCAAAAAAAGTGTAAATTCTGTATAAAATTGTATTCTATTTTGTATGATGTTCCTGTGTATTGTACACTGCACTCATTGTGCACTCGGCACTAATAATGTTTTCATTACATGTTTGCAATATTTCGAATCAGGCCTGGACTGGCGAAAAAAATAGGCCCGGGCATTTTGGACTGAGCAGCCCAAAGCCCGGGGACCCTTTCCTCGGAGCCCAGTGGTGGGACGCAAGAGCGACCTTCTGCAACCCTGGTAGTGTCAGTAGTTTTATATATTTAATTTTTTTACAGAATAAAAGAAGTCAAGGCCTTATCTAGCTGGTCTGATGTGGGGGTGTAGTAAAAAAGGTCAGGGGGGCAGGGGATGGGAGGTCAGTAGGACAGTGTAAATAAACAGAAATCAGTAGGGCAGAGTACAGTTGGTTAGCAGGGCGGTGTCAGATGTGTGGATGTGGGAACTGAATGATTTTTTGTTCAATCTGCTGGTTAAAAAGAACTTCACTAAAACCAACAGTTGAGACAATGAACACCTTGATCCGGTCTATGTACAGCATACTGGATAAAGTACATGGGTCAGGAGGAAGCAAAAAAAAAAAAATGTATAGAATGTAGCAGTCAGGATGAGCGCCATGTTCACATCAGAGTTCCCCTTTATATCAAAGTCAACAGTATTCCCCTACACATCAGAGTCCCCTTTACATCAGAGCCAAACAGAGTGCCCCTTTACATCAGAGCTAAACAGAGTGCCCCCCTACAGCAGCGTGCCCCCTAACATCAGAGCCAAGCAGAGTGCCCCCTTACATCCGAACCAAGCAGAGTGCCCCCTTACAGCAGCGTGCCCCCTTACAGCCGAACCAAGCAGAGTGCCCCCTTACAGCAGCGTGCCCCCTAACATCAGAGCCAAGCAGAGTGCCCCTTACAGCAGAGTGCCCCCTTACAGCCGAACCAAGCAGAGTGCCTCCTTATAGCAGTGTGCCCCCTTACAGCAGAGTGCCCCCCCTACATCAGAGCCAAGCAGAGTGCCCCCTTACATCAGAGCCAGGCAGAGTGCCCCTTTCACCACTGGCAGGTGTCTGGCAGGAAAAGGCTTTAAAAAAATCCCCTTGTTGCTGGATCTTAACTGCGAATGCACAGTTCCAGAGCCAGCCAATCAGGGAACTGCCAGGTTTGGCTGAAACTCCTGCGGTGGAGCGAGTGAATATAAGCCATGCCTGATAAGTGCCATGATGTCACTGTACAGGGGCACACCCGGACCCGCCCACACCCTGACCCGCCCACACCCTGAGGCCGAGCCTGGCAATTCTCTAATAGGACGGCTCCATACTGAGCATGTGCAGTTCAGAGCTGATGACAAGGGGATTTTTAGGGCTCTTTTCTCCGGTCCGCCTTTATGGACAGGAGAAAAGTGTCTGTTTTTCTACAAACCATCAGTAAATTTACAGATGGCTGACAACACGTGGCCACTGTGATTCTTTGTTTCGTTTCGTGGCCATGACAAAAATGATCCCCTCTGTTGCATTCTGTGGGCACAGTGCCTGATAACCGTGTTCTAGTCCAGTGAATGGGGCTGCTCTGTAAGCACCTCACAACTGCAGGCAATGTATACGGCTGCGGTGTGCTAATGTGGCGTTCCAGGGGTTAACCCCTTCCTGTCCTCCCTATATCAGTAAATACTGCTACAGGGCGCCACGGGAGCGCAAAATCACGTGTATGTATACCTGATTCTGCAGTTCCGGGTAGGGGGTGCATGTGACCTACCTGCACCGCTATTCACAGCCTCGGCTGTCAATCACCGGGTCCCGGAAGGTGATTACTTGCCAGTACCCGGTGATCGAGGAGAATTACTGATGAAGGGAGAGAACTGTAAGTAAACAATACAGATCTCTCCCGTCGGCTCCTGCACACTGCTTTGTATGGCTCTGCATAGCAGCACGCGTACACTGAAACACACCCAGCACATAGTTAACCCTTTGATCGTCTCATGTTAACTCCTTCCTGCCCAGTGCCATTAGCACAGCATCAGTACTTTTTATTAGCACTGATCACTGTATTGGTGTCACTGGGGTGTCAATGGCAGTTAGTCAGTTCCCCCCAGTGTCATAATGCCCACCGTAGTCCTGCTGATCGCCGACATTACTAGTAAAAAATTATTTAGCAAAGAAATGTCACAGAATATATTTTGGCCTAAATTTATGATGAAATTTTTTTTTTATTTTTTTTTTTACTGGACATGTTTAATAGCAAAAAGTAAAAAAAAATAGTTTTTTTTCTCAAAATTGTCGGATTGTTTTTGTTTATAGCGCAAAAAATTAAAAATGCACAAGGCGATCAAATATCACCGAAAGAAAAAACTCTATTTCTGGGGGAAAAAAGGACATAAATTTAATTTGGGTGCAGCATTGCATGACCGCACAATTGTCAGTTAAAGTAACACAGCGCCAAAACACAAAAAATAGCCTGGTCAGGAAGGGGGGGATCCTCAGGAGGGCGAGGGGTTTAAAGAAGGTGGTGAGGAGGAGATACAACACCTCCTTGCTGCCTGCCAAATGCTCTCTGAAGAGTGATCTGAACACAGATTGCTTCTTCAGAGACCAAAGCTAGTGTGAAGGAGCTCTTAAAGGGATTGTGGGCAGGAGGGGGTTAAACAGAAGCATGGCAGACGTGTGAGTTAAATATCTATCAGTTTCTCCAACTAGCAGTCGGTCAGCCATCCGCAATAGTACTTCAGGTGTCCCTAGACATGAAATCATGTCTGCAAATCCTTCTAGAACAGGGAGGGGGAGAAGGGAGGAAGATGGGGACAGGTCAGTCATAGAGCAGGGCTCACTCACCCCAAGCTGGGATCTGAAGACTCAGACAGAGTCATCCATCATGCAGAGAGGGTGGAGCTTCCAGGGGCTGGGTTTCATATCTCCCGCCCACATTCCCTTTCTGAGGCACTGCACTGGCTGTGTGTGGGCGGGGCAGACAGGGGGAGAGGGGCAGGATCAGCTGAAGCAGATCAAGTCCTGTCTCCTCTCCTGTCTATGCAGAGGGGGGAGGGGGAGGAGAGCTCGTTACCTGGAGTCTGGGACACAGAGACTTGGCAGATGCAGCCAGCTGCCCCTACAGATTGCTTCCCTGACCAATGGTTTGGCAACCCTGCTTGGGCACAGTATTCATGGGGAGTTGCCTGGGTGGGCGCAGCTGAAATCTGGGGGGGCATAACCCACCCCAGCACCCCCCTAGATCCGGCCATGGTTCATACCCATGTGATCTGATTCAAGCAAATGCAATATGTTCTGCAACCTGCTTTTGGGGAGTTGTTAAAGCGGGAGTTCCAGCTGAACAAAAAAATAAAAGTCAGAAGATACAAAAACTGGAGCTTCTGACCTATAAAAATACAGACACTTACCTGTCCTTAGGTCCAGCGCCGTCCTCACCACGGCTGCTTTTCTTCTCTCGGGGAGAGAGGGGGGTGGAGAACAACTTCTGCTTCTGAATGCCTAGGTGATCACAGCAGAAGTGGGAGCGGGTACCTGTCAATTTCGGGTACCCGCTCCCCCGCTCCCCAAAGGTGCCAATCCTTAATGGGGAACGAGGGACAAAGGCTTAAAGCGGAACTTCCCCTTTTGGGTGGAGCTCCGCTTTAACTTTTAGTTGACACCTGCAGTAGATGGCATGAACACAGTGGGATTGCTATGTGGTGGGGAAATGCAGCGATTCCTGTGCGTTTGTGTGTGAACTCAGCCTTAACCACAAAATACAACAAACAGAGACATGCCAATAGCATTTCACGCTGCGTATATAACCCAGTTTTATGTCTTGTCTGCAGATGTAATTTACTATTTATAATCAAAATGACATATAAAAAAACAGATCAGATCACAAATGTCGGAATATATTCCTTTAATTTATAAACATTTGCTTTATCCACAAACTTCCTAAAGATAAAACTACAACACCAGCTCAGCCCCGCCCTGTGCTGAGAAATGTGAGACGAACTTTAGATTTTCCATGTCGGAGACTTTTTCATTTCATTTCTCTCTTCTGCTGTCAGCGATGGCGTCTGCCGATCTGAGAGAAGAGCTGGACTGTTCCATCTGTCTGAACATTTATACTGATTCTGTAATGCTGAGATGTGGACACAACTTCTGCCGGGTCTGTATTGATCGATCGTTGGATACACAGGAGGGGTCTGGAGGTTATTCCTGTCCTCAGTGCAGAGAAGAGTTCCAGGATCGGCCTGCATTGCACAGGAACATCGCACTACATAACATAGTGGAGACCTTCCAGTCTACTCAGCCAGATGAGAAGAAGACTGAAATCTTCTGTACTTACTGCATTCACTCTCCTGTACCCGCTGTTAGATCCTGTCTGCATTGTGAAGCTTCTCTGTGTGATAATCACCTGAGAATCCACAGCAAGTCACCAGAACATGTCCTAACTGACCCCACTACTTCCATGGAGAACAGAAAATGTGCCATCCATAGGGAGCTTCTTAAATATTACTGTGCTGCAGATGCCGCCTGTATCTGTGTGTCCTGCAGGCTGGATGGAGAACACCAGGGACACAAGGTGGAGACTCTGGATGAGGCTTCTGAGAAGAAGAAACAGAAACTGAGAAACGTTCTGCAGAAACTGATGACAGAGACAGAGAAGACGGAGAAAAGAGTCCAGAGTCTGCAGGAACGTAAGGGAAGAGTACAAGAAAAATCAGCTGGTCTAACAGGTCTAACAATTTTTTATTTATTTTTTTTATTTATATTCTAATGTTTCTATTTTTATTTTTATTTTTTTTTTACCAAAAAAAACGTTTATTGAGAAAGTGCATAAGAATACAAAAGAAAAACAAATGATGGTCATATACAACATTTGGCAATGCATGTTGGGAGAAAGTAGGAATATTCTTACAAAGAACCACATATGGAGCATGGATGTGCCAGTCTACGACGGGGTAAGTCTGTAATACTCAGGCAGTCTAGTAGTGCGCATGGGAATGTTATCGCATCGGACCTTCTTAGTATGTAATTCTCATTATAGCGCCGCAGAAAGAGGAAGGGTAGATGCAGCACAACCGTTGAGGATGAAGCTAGTGTTTTACTGGAGTGATGGTGCCTGTAAGTACGCTTAGATTGTCATGAGGGTCGCTAATGTAAGCAATGTAAGTATGACAATGGCATGCCTAATGTTCTCTAAAGAGGAACCCAGTGGTTAACTGGGAGTGTAACAAGAAGGAAAGAAAAAAGAAAAGGAGAACAAGAAAAGAGAGAAAGAAAAAAAAAAAAAAAACGGGGGGGGGGGTGAGGGGGGGGGGGGGGAAGCTGGGTTTGTATTGTCGTCAACACCAAGGGTCTTTTATGGGTGGATTTGAGCAAAAGTCTATTAACCGGAACCGGTAGGTGGGGATAGAGCCCTGAAGGTGGGGAAGTCGCCTACCGTATGATCTAAAGTGTGGAGGAACATACAATGGAGGTTAGTAATCAATCAGGCGTGTTGGTTGGATGGTTCATAAAGGACCGGTACGTAGAAGTGGTTTTAAAGTGATTCCAGCAGGCCCAAGCATGGGAGAATTTAGTGGGGGAATCGAGTGCGGTCGCAATCAGTTCTTCCATTTCCGCAATTTTACCCACACAGATCAGCCAATCGCGTATGGAGGGAGGGCGGGTGGAGCCCCAAAGAGTGGGAAGACAGAGTCTGGCTGCGTTGACCATATGCATGGCTAAAGATTTGAGGTATTGTCCCCTGGGCAGAAAGGAGTGATGGAGAAGAAACTGTTCTGGAGAGAAAGCTAGGGACAAGGTGGTCACAGACACTACAAGCCGGTGGACCTCCTGCCAAAATGGTTGGATACTGGGACAAGACCACCAAATGTGGAGAAAGGACCCATCCGAGGTTCCACATCTCCAACAGCTGTTGGGGACGGAAGGATTGAAACAAGAGATTCTCGACGGAGTTCGGTACCATCTCAAAGCAGTTTTTTATCCATTTTCCTGAGTGGAGACATTGAGGGAGCATTTATGAGTATGCATAAATATCAGGTCCAAGTCGGCGTCCACTAAGCTGTTTCCCAAGTCTCTGTTCCAAGCACGGCAGGAGGGTAAAGAATTATAATCCCTACTCTCAACAAGGAGAGGGTAAATCTCCGAGATCAAATGTTTGCGCGGTTCAGCTCTAGAGCATAGGGATTCAAAAGGAGTGAGGGGACGAGTCCAGTTATGGAGCAGTTTGTGTGAGAGCAGGAAGTGTCTTATCTGCAGAAAGGCCCAGAAAGGAAAATCTCGACTATCTAAGCTGTCAAGCAGTTCGCGGAACGATATTACTTTTCCATCGCGGATAAAGTGTTTAACCAAGATCTGGTCATGTGGCCAATGCTCAGATAAGAATGACTTGTGCATGCCTGGGGGGAAGTCAGGATTGAGACGAATGGAGGTTAAGGAGTTCGGTGACTCAGAAATAGATACCGTTTTACAGTTCAGGCGGAGAATATTTAAGCTGGGCCCCACTAAAGGGTGGGTGAGGAGCTCTTGAGGTGTATGCTTTGGCAGTAACCATGGAATCGATGTCAGGGGTGAGGGTGAGAAGGCATTTTCTAGGCAGACCCAGTCTTTAGAGGTAGAATGAACATGCCAGTCCACTATGCGTGTAAGGTGGCATGCCCAGTAGTACCGTTGAAGGTCAGGGAGCCCAATTCCACCTCTAAGTTTGGGGAGAGTCAGTTGAGAAAAAGCAATACGTGGACGCTTATGGTTCCATAGGAATTGTGAGCAGAATTTTTTTACAAGATGTAAAAAAAGCAGCAGGTATGTGGATTGGCAGCGTTTGAAAAAGATAGAGAAGGCGTGGGAGTATATTCATTTTGATTATTGCTGCCCTTCCAAACCAAGAGAAACAAGGACAATGCCATTTGTGGAGGTCCTCTTGAAGAGAACGTAGAGCGGGAAGGAAGTTTTTTGCATAGAGGTCATCGAGGTTGCGGGTAAGTTGTACGCCGAGATATGAAAGGGAATCCTTTTCCCAATGAAACGGGGAAATGAGATTCACAGAAAGAGACGAGTTCTGGAGGCAGGGATATGTTAAGGGCGAAAGATTTGGAGAAGTTGATTTTAAAGTTTGACAAGAATCGAAAGAGGGCAAATTCTTTTAACAGATTAGGCAAAGTGGTGTGTGGATCAGCAAGAAAGAGAAGGATGTCGTCTGCGTAAGCAGCGAGCTTGTATTCCTTGTTCAATACCCTGATCCCTTTGATGTCAGAATTCGAGCGGATTTTGCGCAATTGGGGCTCGAGGGATAGGACAAACAAGAGTGGGGAAAGGGGGCAACCCTGACGTGTTCCGTTTCCTAAGTAAAACGAGTTGGACAGATGTCCATTGACCCGGACTCGAGCGGTGGGGCCTGTGTACAGGGTCATGATGAAGTTGAGCATCTTCTCACCCAAACCCAGTGACATCAGAGACGCTTGCAGATAGTCCCATGCAATTCTATCAAAGGCCTTCTCTGCATCCAGGGAAAGGAAAAAACCAGAAGTGTTAGATTTGCGCAACCAATGGTGAAGGTTAAGGGCCTTAATGGTATTGTACCTTGCTTCCCTTCCCGGTATGAATCCAACCTGATCTAAATTGATCAAGGTGGGAAGCAGGGGGAGAAGTCTATTAGCCAAGATCTTTGCAAATAACTTAATGTCCACATTCAGCAGGGAGATGGGTCTGTAGTTGGATACCTGCGTGTTATCTTTATCACCCTTGGGGATAACCGTTATATGGGCCTCCAAAAGACGATGTTGAGGTAGGGGGGATTTGGAGAAAGTATTAAACGCCAAAAGAAGGGGGGTACCTAAGATATCCAAGAAGGATTTATAATAGGCTGCGGAGAAGCCATCGGGACCCGGACTCTTACCAGGTTTTGTCTGTTTCAAAGCACACTGCAGCTCATTCAGGGTCAGATCCGCTTCCAGAGAGTTGGCCAAGTCTTCCGAGAGAGCCGACGGACCGTGGAGCTGGAGAAATTCAGAAATCAAAGAGGCCCTGGATTCGTCAGTGTGCGGCGGTGGGCGTTCAGGAGGAAGGTTATATAAGGATCTATAAAAATGTTCAAAATGGGCAGCAATATCAGGATTAGATGTGGCCATGGTGCCATCGGGACCTCTAATTTTATGTACCGTCATACTGGATCGTTTTTTTCGCGGAGAGCTCTAGCAAGGAACTTTCCGCTCTTGTTAGCAAATTCATAGTATATAGTTTTTGAGAGAGAATGAACCGTTTCTTAACCACCTTCCCCAATTCTGTAAGAAGCTGTGAACGTGTACACGTAAGTTCGGATAGGGTCGACGCAGCCAGAGACTGCTTATGTGCCCTCTCTAATGAATGGATCTTATCTGTGAGGCGTCTCAAACGCTCTTGTCTATCTTTTTTACGCTTCGATGCAGCTGCTATGAGGACGCCCCGAATGACACACTTATGAGCCTCCCACTGCATGAGTGGGGAGGTATCAGGGGAGCAATTGAAGGAAAAGTATTCAACCAGATTGGTGCGGATCTCTTGTTCGATTGCAGAGTCTGCGAGAAGGGAGGCGTCTAGGCGCCAATATTTCGAGCGTGTGTATGTATCTGGGAACTGTAAATCATGGTGATGGGATGGTGATCGGAAAGAACCATCGGTTCTATAGAAGCGGCGTGGAGTAGCAGGGATCTGATTGCGACAGAAAAAGTCTATCCTGGAGTACTTATTATGCGGTGCGGAATAAAATGTGTAATCTTTCACCGTGGGGTAGAGAGTTCTCCAGGAATCGTGCAGTTGTAAGTGTTGTAATTTGTATGTTTATTTGTTTGAGGGCCTTAAACAGTAAAAAGGAGCTTCCGGAGGAGGAGTCTAGCAGAGGATATAGTGGGACATTCAAATCGCCCCCTAAGATCAGAACACCTGAATGGAAAGCAGCTAGGGTGGTAGTTATTGAGCGTGTGAAAGAGACCTGCTTGGTATTAGGGGCGTATACATTAGCAAATGTGACGGGTCTATTGGCGAATGAACCCTTTATGAATAAGTACCTGCCTTCAGGATCAGCAAGGGAGTCTGACATAGTAAAGGGAAGATGTCTAGCGAGTAAAATAGCTGCCCCTTTCGACTTGGCCAGAGGGTTAGTGGCATGGCGGACTATGGGAAAGTGGAAATTAAAAAGCTTGGGAATAGAGTCCTGACGAAAGTGCGTCTCTTGAAGGAAGACAACATCTGCCTTTTGTTTATGTAGATAGGAGAGCAACATGGAGCGCTTTTCGGGTGTCTTCAGACCCTTGGTGTTGAGTGAGAGGATTTCTATTTTTATTTTTATTATTATTTTTTCCGATATTTGAATATTCCCAACTCCTTCCCAGATCATATGGTCCCTCTACCACAACATCGTGATCATATCTATGCATCATCCCCCCGCTGCTTCATAAATAATTAATAATTCCATTCCCCGTACCTACATTTATATATATGTATATACAGTTATGTTCAAAATAATAGCAGTGTGTTGAAAAAAGTGACTAAAGCTCAAAATCCTTCTAATAGCTTTTATTTCCATCCACACAAATGCATTGGGAACACGACACATTCTATTCCAAATCAAAACATGAAGAAAAATACATCAAATTTGTGTTGTTCCTCTAAAAAAATTGAAGAAAAGTGAATATTAGATGGTTTTAAAAAAAAAATCGCAGTGTTTGTATTCTTCTTTACAAACTCAAACATTCAC